GTGTGTGTGTGTGTGTGTGTGTGTGTGTGTGTGTACACACACACACACAACATGGAGTCCGAAACGTTGCCATTCCAGACTAACTACAAATAGGCATCACCATGGGGTCCGAAACGCAATAATTTCATAACTACAAATAGGCATCACCATGGGTCCGAAACGCAATAATATCATAACATAAAAAGGCTTTAACAAAGTCCGAAACGTTATCAGCATCTCAAAATAATGAGATAGTTGATAATTTACAAATAATGTTCCTGTATTTAAATATATGTTATGCCTGGATCTCTAATCATAACTTCGTGGAATTTGTAAATATCTTACACACTTTCGTTTATAAGTCGTAAAAAGCTGAGGTTTAAATTATTTTCCACGTATTTCTGGCTATAGTTACCAGTGGTGAGTTAAGCTTTACGATTTGCTGGTATTATATTGTACCTACTTTATAGTTAGAACAACAATATACAACATAAGCGTTCCTGGTAGTCATATACGGAGAACAAGCATACCTAAATCTGCACAGAAATTCTTAAAACCCTGGAAGGTAGTCTTCTCAATAATAGCTGAAAAACAAATACAGATTATGAGTATTGTAGTGTGAAAACTATATATTTTGTCAGACTTTGTTGATTTAAGTTTGGGAAATATGTTCAATAAAATGGTAATACTTCAATATTGATGTTTCACCAAGATGTATCAACCCTGAATATTTATAATAACGTTAATATTAATAATCGACCTTTCCGCTCCATTCAAGATCGTAAACAGACAGGAATATAAAAACTCAATAAAAAGCCATAGTAGTTAATATAACAAAATATTTTGTTTCTACAGAATTTAAAAATAAATTGAAACATCGCGCTTACTGAATTGTAAGAAAAGAAAAACATTTACGTTTTATTAAACGAGGAAATAAATGTTTTTTTTTCATAAAAACTTCAACCTAAAAACAGTTTTTTTTCTTCAAAATACAAATAGTATTTCCGTAAAAAAATACAAATCATGTTTTCGTGGTCTATCATCTCTCAAAAAAATTCAGCTTGCTACTAAATTATTAACAGAATATACTTTCAAAAATAAATTCACTGTATTTCAAAAACTTGTTCTTAGAATTAGACATTTGTTATTTTAAGGATATAGCTGTCACTGAATAACAGAATGTAATTCTCTTAATGCACACCGTTTCTTAATATATGTTTAGTAGAATTGAAGTTGAACATCGCTTAAAGATTTATTGAAGCCGATTTTAAACCAAAAATGTCCGCGCATAGCAAGATTATCTTTTTTCTTTTGTTTATCAATTACTTCCACAAAGGTGCTTTAAAACATTTCCCAATCTACTTTTAAACTGAAATTAATGTATCCTGAACTGTTTTCAATAATTGTTTGTTTGTTTGTTGTGAATTTCGCGCAAAGCTACACGAGGGCTATCTGCGCTCGCCGTCCCTAATTTAGCAGTGAAAGACTAGATGGAAGGCAGCTAGTCACCACCACCCACCGCCAACACTGGAGCTACTGTCTTACCAACGAATAGTGGGATTGACTATCACATTGTAACGCCCCCAAGGCTGAAAGGGCAAACATGTTTCATGGGACGGGGATTCGAACCCGCGAGCAATGCCGGGCCTCTGTTTCGAATAAATTTGAAAAAGTAATTAATACATTTTAGAACTCACCATGTACTATAGAACTATCGCTAATAACGTAAGAACTGTCGCTGATGTACTTCAAATTTATGTACTTTACAGATATAATTATTGCGTTCTAATCGAAATTAATGTACTGTGGAAATGAAATTAAAGTCTATTAAAACCGCCTCCATTGAATTTAAGAACTAGATCTAACGAACTTTGGAATTGTCAATAATTTACATTACAACTGGCCCTTACGTACTTTAGAATTAAAATACAAATGCTCCAAATAAAATTTAAAACCGAATCATAACATATGAACATATTCCAGCTAATATATTATTATTGATGCATTTAGGAATTGTATACAAGTAAACTTACCTTTGATCATGCCCAATAAAGACTTCTTATAATGCACATAACCATGAATTCTAAGTCGAGATTTCTGTTTGGTGATTCGAATCAAACAATACGTAGCCATAACACAAAAACTGTCACTGTATGGCACTCCTGTGTTTGAAACTTCGCATGTGACCACGTACACCACGCCTTCTTTACTGATTTTCGTCAATGTCTGTTGGAAGATGAAAATATTACACGTCTGACAATTCTCTAAATATACCACAAAGGCACAACAAACTTTTCAAACTGGATTCATTAATATTGATGAAGGATCTTTGCTTAAAGTTGACATCAAGATTAAAAAAACATGAGGAAAGTATATTACAGTTCTAATAACAGTAATCTATACACGATGTTCTCAATATTGTAATAATATCAGATAATTTCGTTTCGTGAAATTGTAAATTTTTTAAATGTTACGCATATTTTATTTTACTGCGAACTGAAATAAAATATTTGAAAATCCAAGCATTGTAAGAGCCTTAATATGAAGTATGTTTCATTACCTCAATACCAGGGTTTCTTCTTAATACTACCAGATGAATGCAAGCTCTAAAGAAGTAAAGAGCGAAACTAAGTGGGGAAGAATTTATGCAGACTTTGTTTAATGCACCAGAAAGCGTAGCTTTTATTGGGAAATAAAATAATCTGTCAGTGAGAAATATCTTTAACAGCTCACCTTCATGCACGAGACTTATAGTTCTTGGTTATTCATTACTTACCAGCCGAGTTAAATAATGTTTGTGAACATAAAATAATCTTTATTCCAATCACACACACACACGTAACCAACAAATTAAATGTGGATTATGTGAAACTCTGAGAGCAAGTTTGTTTGTTTGTTTTGAATTTCGCGCAAAGCTACACGAGGGCTATCTGCGCTAGCCGTCCCTAACTTAGCAGTGTAAGACTAGAGGGAAAGCAGCCAGTCATCACCACCCACCGCAAACACTTGGGCTATTCTTTTACCAACGAATAGTGAAATTGCTCAATATATTATAACGCTCTCGCGGCTGAAATGGCGGATAATATTCGGTGACGGAATTCGAACCCGTGTCCCACAGGTTGCGAGTCAAGTGCCCTAACCATCAAGCCACGCCAGGTCCTGGAAGGGACTCTTTGGCTATTGGTATTAGCCGAAACGTTAATGTTTTGAACAATCGGCGGAAAGTAAGACAAACTAGATAATCCAAGATCAGAGACGATAGGTAATCATGCTTACTTCGTAATATAATTAATATAGGAAAAGCCACTCCGAGCTTTTGTGTAGTTGTTTCTGTGGATCACCTAATAACTTATGATGCAGTTGGAAAGAAATACAGTAATACTAAAAATAATTACACCTGACGTATCATTCAATTCACCACTTCACACCGAGTTATACCGTAAAGTGACAGTATAAAAACTAACGGTTTTTGTTTTTCAAATGAAGTTTAAGATGGAACATGTTTGACCGAACACCATTACATACCTGAGTCTCGGTAACGTGAGCGGATTTGGCCAAAGAGATATTAAGAGCAACGGTGTATTTGACCTGTCTGGTTTTTTCGCCCGTTTCTTGACAAGGCTGCCAATCTGTCTCTAAAATATCTATTAATGAAAACATATTTATTCTCATTACCCAGTGATATTACAAGTTTGTTTTTAATATTTCAAAGTTTATAAAAAATACTACTAAAATAGTTTGTTATCATTATTATTCAGCATGTAGGATACTACAACAATAAGTAAGCCACACAAAGTTTGGTGGTCATAGAATATCTGGTACATTGTATGGCTACTAAAAGTTTTCCCACTTTCTGTTAGCGGTTATAATCACGAATTAAATTATACAAGGACATATATTCTATTTTAATGAGGTGTAATATAACAAATATATTTAGAGTTGTTTGTGTTGAATTTGGCGCAAAGATACTCGAGAGCTATCGGCGCTAGCCGTCCCTAATTCAGCAGAGATAGAGGGAAGACAGCTAGTCAACACCATACTTTGCCAACTCTTCGGCTAATCTTTTACCAAAGAATAGGGGGGAGGGTGATTATCACACTAACCTTCGGGGGGGGGGGGAGCTGAAATGATCAAGTGTAGATTTGTTTCTGTATAAAACACTAATCTGAATACCAGCTGAAACTTTTATAACACTCTTGCAACTAAATACCTATCAGCTCTTAATATATTTTATCTGTATCTAGTGCTATTCGTCCCATCAAGCATTTGTGTCGCACTCTTTATTCATCATAATAATAAGTTAACTTATATACAAAACAAGCACTGCACCAACCGTATTTCTTTGATTATAGACTGCCAGTCGAGCACCCTAACTATCAGGCTATGCCAGACCTTTGTATTTTAATTTCTCTCTCTCTCTCTCTCTCTCTATATATATATATAGAGATAGATAGATAGGATACTCAGTTTTAGTTCTCCATTTGGAAGATTAGGTTCTTCTGGTTTCAGTTACGGTAATGATATTTTTGACATTATTATTCAAATCATTAGTTGTTACAACAGTACGTAAAAAATTGGTTTTGAATATTAGAGAAATTATTATTATTATTATGCTTTGAAAGCAAAACAAGGACTAAGACAATGGCTTGTACTGAATTAAAAGTTGATTTGATTATCGAAATGGTTCCATTCCACACAAATATGAAAGTATGATATATATCTCAACACAAGAAAACCCACACAAAACATTATACACGAAATAAACTGAGAAAAGACTGAAGTGTGTTGAGATAAGTCAGACACTTTTATTTTTTATTTTTTTTAAGTTTAGACATGCAGTTTTTTTGTTTGTTTTTTTTTTTTTGGCCAGAGATAGTCTTGACGTCAACTGATGAGCACGTCTCTTAGCGTCTGGAAATGATCAGAGTGATATGAAATGCAAGTTACGATAGTAGATATGGTCAATTATTGAGTTAAGCAGTTTTTTAGTCAGTTTTTTGTTACTTGCAATTGAATAGAAATCTGAAAAGTACCATACGTGCAAGAAAATTAACAAGTAAATGAAACTGTGTTAGTGTCTACTACAAAGTAAGCCTTATTAATGTTCGCTAACAGGCCTAATTTGAACTTGAAGTAGAAGAAATAAACGCTTTTGTTATCATTAAGTCGATTGTATAATTTTTTTTTTTACCACGTAATTCAAACTAACCAGCAACAATAGAATATTAGAATGGGTACTCGTACTTTCACAGACATTCATGATTCAGCCTCGTACATCAGCGAAATTATGGATTTTGTTTTACATCTTTAAAATTTCCAGGAACTATAATTTTAGCATTTGCAAAAATTGACGTACTTACCCTTGGTTTGTCTGTTCTTTTGAAACTCTTGGTAAAATTCGGAGCCATTAAAAATGAGAGAAAACAGCTTATCAACCGATACGTGCAAAATACTGTTCAACACCTCCTTCCCTTCGTGTTTTTCACAAGGACAAGTAACTTCTGGT